GACACTGATGGAGCTGAATGGCTGATTAGCCTCAGTGTTTTTTCTTTCAAAGGGTATTAGAGGAGGGCTGCAGGGTTTTTTTTCTTTTTTTTTAATGCTGGCATGCATAATTAAAGTCTGTTTGTTCCAAAATTACATTTCTGCCACTTAACTCACTGTGACATTGATCTTATGAAACAGAAGAGGGGGGAAAAAACCCTTTAATCACAACATAGAGGTAATAATTTAAGTATTAAAGTATTAAAGATAATGAGCTCTGGATATTAAGTGTCATTTATTAATTTACTTTACTTAGATGGTGCTCTTTTTAACTACTATCTCTGTAATTGCATGTCTTTCACTCACACACCTGCCCTTAAGACTAATGGCTCTGGTGACAGGTTTTAACAGCAGTTAAAAAGATATACCTAATAAAGTAGCCAGCGAGTGTATACTTAGTATATCAATGTGTGGAGCAACAACTTTGAATGTAACACAACATATTCCAGGAAGCAGTCCAGTTGCAGTGATTTCTTTCTTTCTGGGCTCCTTCTACATTCAAAGAATTCTACAGAGCATCACTCACAACAGATTTCACTGGGGCATATCCTCATCTAAAAAGTCAATTCCTCCCAGAAGGCAATTATTCTGCCGCGGAGCGACATTGCAGAATAGATAACAGAACAGAGTTGCGTGCCAGGCTGCGTCAACAAATGTGAAAACTGGAGGGAATGTTTCATCTTCTTAGTGTGTCCCTGTAAAAGCATCCATACACGAGCTATGGGATGTCACGCTGTATTTATCATGGACCCGTTGTCTTTTCAATATTTTCTGTCAAATGTATACTGCTACATTGATGAATGCCTATATCAAACATGCTCAACGTTTAAAGTAATAGTAATACAATCTCATTATTACAAGTAGCATTTACAAGGTATCCCTTTAATACTGTAAAAATCATTTTGTTTATGTGGGGCAACCAATCAAAAGAAGGATTTATTAAAGGCAAAGGATGGAAAACAGCTTCTTTTCTGACAGTGGATGAACTGAGGATGAACCTTGTGTAAGTTAAGGTGTAAGGATCATGCGAAGCTACTCTTCTAGAAAGCACGACAGTAAAAACACGGAGTTGAAAATGAGCATAATAGATCCCCTTTAAGAACTACAGTTTATTACACTTAGTGTCAGGAGGGCAATTAAAACAAGTGTGCTGCAGAGTGAGATACACATAATGTGGATTTGTGTGCATGTTTATATGTTTGTGCACGATTCCATGTTTGCTTGTGTGTGTGTGTGGATCATGATTTGTGTCTCACTGTGTTTTACTCCTTTAAAACTGAACTGGCAGTATGCCAGAAGTCTCTTATTAGCAGCCAATTAGCAAGGGGGAAGATGAATACACTGCCCCGAAAAATAAAAAGAACACCAGGCAGTAAAGTGGAAGAGAGACGGGAAGACTTGGAGACTTATTTTGTTCTCCTAGAGCCTAATGAGTATTTTTTTTTACCTGTGTGTTTCAAGGTCGGCCGTGCTTTTTGGGTAATTGAATTCAAAAGACAAGAGAGGGTACTGATGAACAAAGATTTTGTTTGCGTGTACCCAGTAACCTGTAAGAGGGATTTCATAAGAATCTGGCTCTGTGTGAGTCAGGTCAGGTAGATAATTCAGCTCCCACCTCCACACTGCGAGCGTAGGCAGCGACAGAAGAGGCTGCGACAACTCAACTGTTTTTGTTTTTGCAGCTTTTTTATATTTATTTATTTATTTATTTTTTAATTTTTTGTCGAGTTTGTGAAGAGGCAGGTCCGGTGGGCTGAGGGCAGCAAAGGTTGAGAGTGTTTTTGTTATACTCAGCAACGTGTACCATTCAGGAATAGTAATTTGGCTCGGTTTGCCTAATTGTGGCCCCGCAATAGCCTTTAAAGCCTGACTATGTGTGTTCGTTTATATGAGCCCAAGTGTGAAAGGCTGAATCAGATTTGGCAGAATAGGGTATAAAAAAGAAAAAGATTAAAAAAAAGTCTCCCCTGAACTAAAGAGGACTCTCCTTTTCATTTCTGACTAAGCCATTGTGCCCCAATGAACACACTATTGATGGACTGTATTATTAGTATTTTGACTAGAAGACAAAGTAATGTATTATGCAGTGAGATTGATGGGTCAGGGAGGTTTACAACCTAAAGCCAGCGCATTCAAAGTCACGAAGGGCACTCTCTTTCAACCTGGCTAGATCACCACGGTAACAATATGGGAACTAAAATAGCTAGCTATATACTAGCTATAAAGAATCTTTTCTGGGGTAGTGTGTTTATGCATACGGACCTCTCAAACCAAACTGGTTTTATTTATATAGTGCCAAATCACAAAAACAGTTGCCTCATAGGTCCTCGTAGACACTACAATAATATAGAGAAAACCCCAACAATCAGACAGCCACCGATGAGTGAGCACTTGGTGACAGCGGGGAGGAAAAACTCCCTTTTAACAGGAAGAATACCGGTCCCTCAGATGGCCGCAGGGGCAGCCATCTGCAGGACCATTGTGAATGAGGGGAGGGCGACAGGACAAAAGATACACTGTGGAAGAGAGCCAGAGATTAACAATAAGTAATGATATAATGGAAAGTGGTGTATAAACACAGACTGTATCCATAACTATGTTGTAAGTAAGATCATGAATGAGGCTGTGCAGTTGCAATAACATGCTGTCAGGAATTTCCATGCACTAAGTAAAATGAACTTACTGCACATCGCTGACACTACAGCAAGTTAATACAGATTGGTATATATATATTTATATCAAAAAATCTTTAATGGATTGGTTAATTTCACTTGGCCAAGTATTTTTGTTGTTGTTGTTTTTTTTTTAACTTCATTATGAAAACTGATTGGTCTTGTTTAGCATAATTTTTAAACATGTCGAGTTTGAAGCTCTAATGTGCAGCTATAATGTGAGAGATTAGCAATAGATTCATATTCGAACTACATTCATCACATTTGCTCAGGACCTGTGCTGTAATTTGCCAGAACCTTCATATGTCTCCCCAACCTGTTCCCTCTGTTTGAAATGAGTAGGTTCTTTTTGTGCTGAAGAAGAGTCAAACAACCTCTTTTTTATGAACATGCCTGAATATAAAAGCCCAGGTTAACAAAGAAAGCTGACTGATCATTTGTGGTTACCTCTGACTGGGGTTTTAGGATTTGTCCATTCAGCAAATGAAAAGAAGGTCTGTCTACGTCAAACTTTTGTATTGTGCCCTAGGCTGTGCATTTATGCATAGGTCTATGTTTTTTTTGGGGTTTTTTTGTTGTTACATACAAAGCGGAAAATACAATATGCTTGGTCAAAGTGAAATTAAGACTGACTTCAGTTCAGTTTTACAATAATAAAGCAATTACAGTAATTTTCAGTTGTAATGAAAAATCTAAAGCCCCTTTCACATGTGCTCTGCAGCCCCGAGTAAGCCAGCCAACAGAGGAACATGTGGGAACACAAATAGTAGGCAGTATTTATCTATTTCACTGCTTCCTAATACAAAGTCAGTAGATTGCACTGATGGGCAAAAAGCACAGCTAATATTCTGGTGCTTTCACCTGTAACGTACCCCGTATTTCCACTCGCATGAATGCATCGGAAGTAGACTCTTCGTGATGTGCGCCACAGATGAACTTCACACAACTTTGAATAAGGTTGTGTGAAGTTCATGTGTGAAACAGCTTAGCTGTGAATTTTAAGGGAAAAAGTTGCATTACTCCTGCAATCTATATTTGTATTGATACCCGTCTGTAGTAACAGCACTGACTGGTTTTTTCTACAAATTCACCAACTCACTGTTACACTTGGTAGACAGCTAAAGCAAAAGTAAGATACAGTAATGGATGTAAGTGATGACCTGTTTAAATGTGTATGTGACTGTTTGGTTTTCATACAGGCAACTGTCACTTATCTCTGGTATCATTTTGGTTATGTGGTTTACAAGTTTTGTCTACTGTAATAAAATGGGTTGTCACTTTTTGATTACGCTGTTATCTCAGCGATACAACATTGCTCACTGTTTACTGTTTGGAACAGGATTATGATGCAATGATATTATAATATGCTGAAATCCTGTATTGAATGCTATCATTAGCTTATTTATAGGCCTGACAGCGGCTCTGCAGCTTGTCCACAGTGACATAGATTAAAAGTGAGATGCAGATGCTTAACTAAGGGTTTAAAAACCAAACTCAGATCTGAGATATAACCCAAACTTCTGAGATTTGAAACACAAATTGAGAAATTTCTCCACAAATAGTGACGTAGTTGCAGCAGCGCGGCAGTTTAACATAAAAATGTCGCTTGACAAGTTTGCTTTTTATCTATGAGTATAACCAGAATATAACCAGCTAAGTACAAGGTTGGAAAGAGACACATTGCAGTGAGTTGCAATCGTCGACACAGTCCGACACCTGAATTAACCTTTTGAGGAGAATCTGCATAGATCCTGTGACGTAGCCTGTGCAAGTGGCAAACACCACTTGTGACTGCACTGATGGTGACATTTGGATACGTTTCTAGGAGGGTGCGTGTCACGTGCATGTTACATTGGAGGGTTTCAGAATGGTTTGTGGTTATAGTGTACCTGCAGCACAGATTTAACACCAAAGCATAGATCCACCGGGACTCTGATTGATTGCAATGTGTGAACAACCTGTCTGCATGTATGATTTATAGGGCATTTTTTTCCAGTGTGTCTGAGAGTGATTGCACTCAATCTGCGTCAGACTGCAATTGTTTGGAGGCAGGTTGCTTCCCACCAGGCGACCTGTACACTTACCTTGTGATTGAAAGTGGTCAACGGAGGTTAGAGGAGTTGCATGCTCAGCCTCTACAGTCAGTTTACCAATGCAAAAAAAAGAGTTCAGTGCAGTTGTGGTGCAACCACTGATTGTTCTTAGTTACAAGGAAGTTATCATCCAATTTTTACGCTAGCGTGACTGAACCGTTAGGCATGCTAATCTGGTGAACACTAATATTTAAAGTTTGTTCAGGTAAGAGTGAGCTGTAAGTACTTGAAAATAGTAAGTAATTGAATTGTGTTAAAATAGAATGCACGATGAACTGACATATCAAAAGAACAGCTACACGCTAAAAGCTTTTGCTGTACTGTCATATGTGGCCTTTGAAAATTACCCAGAAGACACTGTTTTAGAACCTGTTTAAATAGGCTTCACGTAGGCACTTTCTACAGGTAACATTATCACAGACGCAACATACATATTTTATGCTTTCAATGTGCTATTCATCTCTTGTACTTGTCCTTCTTCTTCTCTGCTTCTGTAAGGTAGTGTAGTCCAGTGTGTCTCTACCCAGTTTGCAAACAAGTCACGTCTCTTTGTTGACTCTCATTGACTGAAACCTCTTACAGCTAATGAACGATTTCACCACTGCCTCCCAACTTTCCCCGAAACACGCACAACAATAATAATTGTCGTCGTCGTCTCGTCTCCGGCATGTTCCCTTGCTGTGAGGCTGTTTATGTAGCTGCTTCTCTGGACAGGCAGAGACATCAAGGCGATGCGTTTTGAGCTCTAAATACAAGCTGACGCTTTAATTTAGCTCTGCTGACATTTGGAGTTATTGCATAAGGATATTGAACTGAGACGACAGCCATCATGTAGGATTTCCTCTTAATAAAAAAAGAGCTGCGGGGTGACTCGCAGACTGTTTGCATTACTTGTTTATATATATGTGTGGGTGTCTGCTTGCTTTCTATACATGCAAGTGTCATCACTGGCAGGTGTAATGGTTTGCAAATTCAGTCTGCTGGAATAAAACTTGAGATGTGTTCTTGTGAACATTTTCATCCAGCCTTAAAGTTGCTAACTGTATATGGTTTGGAATATGGTTGTTATATATTTTGAGCTTTGGTGAGGGGTAAGAGATGATAAATTGATGAGAACATGATATTTCATTAATGAATGTTATCACTCTGATTTTTAGGTCTGGCAGTGGCTCTGCAGCTCCTCCATGGGGATATAGATCAACTAAGACGGGAGTACATGGTCCTTTTCACCCGTGGTGTGTCAATCACCAGGAAACTGGGCTTCTCTGATGTCATCATGCCAGGTAGGATACCACAAACCAACATTACCTTGTAGGTCTCAAAGCAGTTGTTGTCAAAGTGGGGCCGGGGGACTAATAGTCATGGTGTTGTGGAAAAATAAGTGCGCTGTGTCATTTAAAAAGTGCACATCTACAGTTGGGGGCAATTTACCTCAATAAAGCAAGCTAACTCTGTCCATTACTCACTTCACGTTGTCTTTGGGTCAGTAGAAGCGCTTATGTGATGTGACACATCACATCAGTCTCTCATCTAATCGCTCATTTCCCTCAGGGTGCAATGAACCATTTGTTGTGTAGCTTTGCTTATCGGCTGAGTCAAAACTAACTTAGAATTGTGTTTTTATTCTTCTTTCATTTCATTGCGGTGTTTCTGATCATGGGTGATAGAAGTGTCGTCTGTGGTTCCATTCATACACTCTTTATTTTTGCGTCGAGTGGCTGTAATCCCTCAAAGCTAGCATTGAGCAAGGGGTCGAGAGTTTATTACAGCGAGAGCAGCGCTCACACATATGTAGACTGTCATATACACACCAATGTCCGATTCATGAGACAGTATTAGGCTGTTTAGCAGACGGCCAGGCCATAGCTGGATGATTTGAACAGTGCCCCCACCTTATTATGACAGAGGGGTTTTTACTGAGCACCTGCACCTCCTAATGCTTTTTTCTGTCACCCATAAACTGCTGCTGCTATTGGTAAAAACATATTTATTGCCTGTAAATACGGGGTTTCAATAACTATTGCACAGCCAGCAGGTGTGGGTAGACCTAATGCGTCCTATCATACGTCAGTGTTTGTTACATAAAGTTTTAGCTGACAGACTTGGGGCTGTTAACAGTATATTTTTTTTGTTTTGGTACTCTGTTTTGTATTGTATTCGTTGGCCTGTCTCAAAATTATTATAGTTATTCTTATTATAGTTGTCGTGTTTACACCCAACATCTCTGCCTACTGCATGAATCGAGAGATATTTGAATTCCACCCTCACAAAGATGAATCATGCTGTTAAAGGTAGAGAGATGACACTTGGCTGCTTCTGTAAATGCACCTCGGGCTTAGCTGAATTGGGTCTTATCGCCTGGGTACCAAATACACAGCCACATGTTTATATGTACACACGCCCGGGGAAAAGTAGGGAAGGAAACTACTGGCTGAATTAGCTCTCTGAGGCAGCTGAACATAAGGGGACTTTTTCAACAGAAAAGCTAATGTCTTAAAAAAAGCTAGATATGCTGTCTGGTCACACAGATATAGAGGAACCACATACTGTGGGCCCCCCCAGCGCCTCACTAACAAAGATTTATGTACACCATCTCCTTTGTCTTTTTCTGGCTTCAAACCCTTAACGCTGAGTGCTCTCACCCTTTCTGCTTGTGTAAGTCTGCCCATGGGCAAAGGAGCAAAGGAGACTGCCTTTCCTCCTTTTTCTTCTTATTTCTCATTCCACTATTGTGTGCGATCTTTCCTCTCATTTTCTTTGTCACACACAAACACACTCTTTTCTCCGTCCAGCTGCTCCCCCCACCGTCTCCACTTCCTCTTTTCCCATTGTACATTAAAAAAAAGTGTCCCTGTCGACCTTCCTGTGCTCTTTGTGTGTATGTGTGTGAGTGTGTACATGTACTTGTATGTATAAAGTTTGGGTGAATGTATATAGTCGAAATCATCATGAAGAAGAGTGTAGCTGCCTGATTAAGAGTAGATAATAAGTGCTAACTCTAACGATAGACACGACCACTGAAACCTGCCGAAGTTATTTGTCAAACCACATACTTTTTTTTTCTTACTTACCCAGCACACTTTGCATTTATACTCCCCCACCACAGGAAACCGTATATGAATGGCTGCAGTCATTGAACAGCTGCAGTTATAACAAAGACAAAGATTATTTCTTCCTCAGATTATTTTCCCAGATTGCAGCACATGAGAAGCCCAGAAAAGGCTGCATTTGTTGCAGGGTTGTTTATAAGTCAGATGTTTTAGCTTGAAGTGATACTGAACAATGATTATGCTCTCAAACAGTATGAATATGCACAGTTACCGTAAGCTTATGTCCTGGGATAGATTGATTAATAGGAAAGAGTGAGGGTTCTGTTGCAATTTGAATACACGTACATTATTTATTCATTTGTGCGGTTTGTGTTCGTGAATCGCTTCATGTGCTGTCCTTGCTTCTGAGCCCTGGGGGTTGTGGCCCCCATGAAGGATAAAAAATAAATAAATAAAACTCAGAAGTCATTAAAAAGCAAACAGAATAGCAATTATTAAATATCTTTTAAAAAAAGAACAAAACCCCCCCAAGTAAAATATTAAATACTGCTCACCTGTTCAGACGTATAAGAGTAATAAGAAAATGGTGTAACTGGTTGAAAGCCCAGTACATGTATTCAACCTCACGAGTCGATACTTCTTTGCTTTAACAAACAAAATCCACATTCTCCCCCTTTTACCCCCTGATTTGACCTTTGTCAGGCTCAACTACACTGACAGTTTGACTCGACATGTTAAAATGTTATAACAATTACTATTTTCTTTTCTTGATTACTTAAAAATGCCAGTGTCCCCCATCTCT